GGGCTGGCTGGGATACATTCTGCTGACCGCCCATAGGCGTCGCAAGATGCAGTCGTGGTGGTGCTGGTCGACCCGATGGGCGAGGCTGAGGTTGGAGTTGGGTTTGGATTTGAGGTACTTGGGCGGGGGCGGGATTGCCATTGACGGGTTTGGCGCTAGGTGAGGGGGGAATGCCTAACGTGAGCTTCGGGGTTCGTGGGCTGCTGTTATTGTTGCGAGCACCAGGAACCGGTGGACGAAGAAGAGGAACGGGGGACGACATGGCGAGATTGTTTTGCCTTTCGCCAGGCAAGAACAACTCGTTTGGATCTGCGAGAGTAGCCACAGTGTCGACCTTGGACCAGTCCGCCTTGGTGAGTCCGGGGAGGGGAAAAGACGGATTGGAGTGAACGAAAAAAAAAAAGATGTGAAAGGCAGAGCAGAAGGAGAAGTAGAATCAAAGGTGAAAACACATGCAAAGACAGAAGAGGCAGAGGCAGAAGTAGAAGTAGAAGAGATAAGGTAGAGAACAAACGAGTGGAGTTGAGAAGTTACCGAGAGATGCGGCAGGTGACTTCAATGTTTTTACTCCACCATATAAGAAATAGACTCCTTCGTAATCCTTATAGGGTATATTTTAAGAAATGAGGGTCTAGTTCAAACGTTTGTAGGACTTGGAAACTCTCTTCTCTTGAGAATATTAATAGAGCGACACAGCCGACAACAGAGGTCGGGCTATGGTGGGGCCTCTTATGTTTCAGAAAGCGCCTGAGCTGAAACACATGTCTATGATGTCGAATGTGACTACGGAGTAGAATATAGGTACTCCGTACAATTCAATGTCTTTATTTTTGTTGATTTGGATCTTTCATTCTTTTTTCATTCTTTTTGTGATTATAAGGGGAAATCAACAGAGAATTCTCCCGAGTACCATGGTTCATGTGTTTCTCCCCTTTTTTGATTTTTATACATACATAACTACCTATATACCTAACTATGTACATACATACTACAATAAAGAATCAAACTAATAACTCAAACAATATCTCTACTGTCAAATGTTCTTGTAAACTTACGTTGTTGCCTTGGAGCCGCAATTACTGGGCAGACATACAGGCAAACCGTCAAGACATCATTGCCAGCACATTCAAGCCTCCAGGGCTATCCCCCACCAGAGAATGACCTATCACAGGCGATAGAGATCTTACCCGGCTGTACAGCCTTACAGAAGTACCAAATTTTTACAATCTAACATGTTAAATGATACAATCTCCAGTTATATCCAATTATATCCTGCTATATTGGGAAGGGTAATATGGCAGGATATAAAAAAAACTACCTATAGATATGTCATTGAGGGGCTAATCGAGGGCTAATTCCAGGCTAATTCTAATGCTAAGATTCGATCCCTTGGAAAGGTGTGGCTTGGCCCAACCCTATGGCCACGCAATGAGACCCGATGATGACATGGGCGGGCCCGGAAACCCTAGTCGATCCGCACCAGTAGCATTTCAGGTGTCACTGATTTTTTCTCCCGAAATGTGGGCGTTAAGCAGATCGTTCATGTACTCCGTACTCCGTACTAGAGTACAGAGCACTGTCGAAGTGTTTAATTTCAAGGTTATGATTTAAATTAGACCTGATCCTTGCCGGGAGAGCCGGTTCCAAGTCCTATAGATGGGGCCAATCGTACAACATCGTAGATAGCCCCAGTGTGGATATCACAAATTGGGACAAGCACCGGTAAATCTCGATCTAAATTTGGGTTCAATGAGGTCCAGGAAGCTTAAGAATGCGGATAGAATTAGTTGTTGTATATGTTCTGTGCACAAAGTAGACTGACTCCACCGACAGTGGAATAGTTGGTCTTGATTGATGTCTAACCTAGCTAATGTAGAGATAATATCATGAAAACCCGGAAATCGTATGCTTGTCTTCAAAAAGCCTGATACTAATAATCCCGATAAAGCTATCCTAGCGTAAGCGAGCCATATCCAAGAACCTCGCTGTTTGATCTTCCATCTTACTGGCGCTTCAAGCAAGACCATATCACAATAAACCGATTAAAGGCCACGGCAATCTCCAATTCATAATGATTAAAAGATCTTCAACGCCGCACTTGAAAGGCACCGCGCAGAGCAGCTATTTCTTCCGATCCTTTCGAGATAGCTTATATCATACATATGAGCTTCCACGAGTGTTGCCTTGTATCACACGGCACCACCGAGCCCATTATGGTACGAAAAGAATTCTGGATTCCGTACTCCATACGGAGTATTCGATAGAATATTGAAATAAACCCAATGGGCCTATTATTCTTCTCGGTGCCGCTCGCTTGTGTCATCAGCGCTAACAAATGACGCGTTAATGCTGATCGGTCGGGTTGGGTGACGGATAGGTGATTGCTGATGGCGATCACATGAAATCGGATTCTGCAAAGTGGACTGCAACATAGGCGACGTGAGGAGGTAGCAGGTGAGGACAGTCTCTCATTAAACCAGAATTGATGTCTTGGGTGGGCACTAAGGACATCATCCTACAATATAAGTCTATTAGTACTATGTGAGTGGGAACAAGGTCTCTGGGATTTGTCGCATCAAAATCCAAGCCATTGAGCAGTAGGAAGTTGACTTAGATGTCAATCACAAATCTCTCGACTTGGCCGATGTGATATTCTTCTCTTGCTCATGGTGCTGCAAGATACTCAGGAAATGTCAAAGGACGTGAAGTGAGAAGGGTATTTCCCAGGTCTCCCAGAATGTGGCATGAGAGGAAACAGCCCCTTACCCTGAACAACAGAGACTCGGGGACAACTGAGGTCAAATGAGGAAGGTCAAGGATATCCCACGCGATAGGCGAGGATGAAAAAGCCCACCTGGGCAGGTCCACTCAAATCATTATCTCACGAACGCCCCTATCATCGATGGTATGGCTCAGCGTTGTGCTATATATATCGAACACACTCCACCAATAATTATATCCTACAAAGCTAATTGTAGCCAAAGATAGTATCAAAGATGAGTATGGGGTTGATAAGGGTACGGCCTTACCATACAATGCACATTGAAATAGAATGTAGGCGCGATCTATTGAAAAAGGGGCCACGAAGAGCAAGCATTCAATAATAACGGCATGTGGAGTCTGGGGGCGCCACGAGGTCTACGGAAACCGCTTGGAGCGAACAACCCCCTATCATGGAGCCGGGACAACGAAGGGGTCTAAAGTTAAAGGCGTGAACCGTGCTAAACGATCATTGGCTATGAAACATTGCCTACAGTAGGTTTACTCTGTACCCTGACCCTGACTTGCCCTAGCGGTCGAACCGCTTCGAAAGTGTGATCCAAGTTCTCGACATAGGAATTGGATGAAGATCGACACGCTTTAATGCTGCAGGTCAATCACAATGTAATACGGGGTATTGTGTATGTATATCTATTTCTAAATACTCCGCACTCCGTACACATTTCGAAAAAACAGATACGGAGTACTCCGTACAGAAAGTAAAATCGACTGTGCAGCTTGAGTGGTGTAACGGACTCCGAATTACAGCATATGGGCCATGCCAGGGACACCCAATCACACGGCTAGACACACGGCTAGACCCCGATATTAGTTTCTCAAATTGCGCTTGGGCATTGAATTCCACATTGCCTAGCACAGGGGCATGAGATGCAAGCATCGTCAAACACTATGACCGGAAGTAGAACAATGCGGTCTAGCCAGTATGGCGTGAAGCGAGACCTTCCCGTTTCGGGGGACAATTCGAGCAGTGGCGTTGTTTTTCGGGTTTTCGGTTTCGTTTTCCTAAAATTGGCCGAGTTTATGATATTACGGTGATTGCGCGATGGGGATGCATAGAACATGAGTAAGAAATGGCAGTTCTTTTATATCAAGATACATGGTTAACATACAAGAAAGAAAGTGTCGGACGACGATATACTGAGTGTCCCGGAGGACACAGTACAGAGCCATAAATTAAGATCCACAGAAATTGGATGTAATAATACTTTGTACTGAAAAAGGTAGTACGGAGTACTCCGTACCGTCGTAAGTAATAATTAAGTCATAATACAAAGGATGTCTCGGGATTCGCTCCGACAAAGTCGAAAGTGTGTCTGGGTTCCATGTTAAGATGAACGTCCAGAGAAGGAACCAATCCCATTTCGCAAGTAAAGTGCATATCATCGTGGATTCGCCCTTGCACAGTACGTTCTCTTGGCTAAATAAATGGCGGGCTGTTCAGGGGTAAGTGGAGATGAGCAGAGACCCACGGGGAAGTGCTAACAACTGGGATGCCAGGAACGGGTAGTGGATCAGCGATGCGGTCTGAAACATCAAGATTAGAAAGAAAAATACAAAAATAAATACGGAGAGAGAGGTTGTAAAGTACTACAACATATGTAGGATTGAAGTTCAACTCTTGCCATGGAGTATGTACATCTACAGAGTATTTTATAAGATTTGATATGTGTATACCGTACTCCATACCACATACTCGGTCAGGGTCAAAGTCTCCAAAGTCGATCGTCATAAGTTAACGCTAGGAACGCTAGCGGGTCAAAATTACCAGTCAACCTGGTACCCCTGGCATCGATCCAATCATAGAATGGAATAAGTGAAGGCTGTGCGAGGGTCAAGTTCTAGGTACATGACATATTGCGGTGTAGATTAGTGGTGGATTAAGTACCTAGTACAATTCAGTCCTTGTTCTTTTCCCCTTTTTTTAGGGCCAAAATAGACCAAAATGGATCAGAATGGGTCAAAACAACGAGAAAGCAAGTGGCTGCTGATCTTTGACACTAATCTCCCCGTTCATACAAAGGCCCCCTGCCTCCCCCGTGCTGTTTCTGTTTCTTTCTTCTCTCCAAGTACATTCTTCGTTGCAAAGCATCCAGTCACTCTCTCTCGACTTCGGTCTTCCACTCTTTAAAAACCAAACTCACTCTCTTTCAAAAGCTTCGCTTTTTATATATACCTTTTTGAACATCACTTTTTACGGTTTTTCGTACATAACATTCAAAATGCGTTTCACCACTGCCACCATCGCCTTCTTCGCCGGCCTTGCCATTGCCGCTCCCGGTGCCGACCAGACCGTCTACGAGACCGATGAGGTGACCATCACCTCTTGCGCTCCCACTGTCACCGACTGCCCCGCCAGAAAGGGCGGTGCCGGTGTTGAGCCCACTGGCAGCACCACCCCCTCCAGCGCCCCCGCCGCTGTCACCACCCCCGCCGGTGAGACCTCCGAGTCCTCCTCCGAGACCGCCGCCGTGTCCACTGAGACCACCACCTGGTCTTCCGAGACCCCTGCCTGGTCCTCCGTCCCCACCTGGGCTCCCTCCAGCGCCCCCAGTGCTCCCGCCCCCAGCGCTCCCGCTGCCAGTGCCCCCAGCGCTCCCGCCCCCAGCGCTCCCGCTGCCAGTGCTCCCAGCGCTCCCGCCCCCGTGGTCTCCTCCACCGTGATTGCCATCACCACCTGTGTGCCCACCGTCATCTACTCCACCGTGCCCGTTACCGCCAGCACCCCCGCTGGTAGCAACGTCCCCCACGGCCCCACCGGTGGTGTCCCCCACGTTCCCTCCAGCAGCAAGGTTGCCACTGGCACCGCCGCTGTTTCCCCCACCTCTTCCCCTGTCTTCAACGGTGCTGCTACCCTCAGCGGCTCCCTCGGCTTCGCCGGTGTTGCCGCCATTGCCGCCTTCTTCCTGTAAATGACTTCTTCCGAGTTTATGATGCACTGCTCCACCTAGTTGGATCCCTTGGATCTAACCCTGGCGTAGCCACTGTGTCGAACTGGAGTAGTTGATTGGAGGAGATGTGAGAATAGGATTGTGTTATTTAGGGTCTCTGGTGATTTACTATTAACAATTGTTGCTTTCTGACTGGATATGTCTATCCCTTTTTTGCTTTTTTGATATACATATTCCTTTTTATTTCTTCTCGGGCTCTCCTGGATAGCTTCGGAGTTGTGCGAAGCTCGCTTGGTGGCTTGAGCACGACCTTAATGTAAACCATGACAGCTTTTCACATTCTCCCTCTCTCCAGCGCCTGTAGCCTATTTGGAATGTATCCTTACTTTTGCACATTCATAATTCCATAGTTTGTTTTAAGATTATACATGTCGGCATGTTCACTCTAAACCCTACTAGAGTATTACATCTCAATAGTATTTATTACTGTAAATAGTTATGTTATTTTTACATGTTTGGTACCCAACCTCGAGTATTGTCTATATCCCTGCCCCTGACTCCATGTGCCACCTTCAATCTTGTACTTCCTAGGGCTGAATCCCCTACGACTTGCAGTTGTAAAGCTAACTGGGTGGCTGAATTTTGAAATTCGAATTCAATTGCTTAATCTAGCCAGCTACTGTCGACTGACCGCTTGAATCTGAACTGCTAGGAGTGTCACAACCGTAACCTCATCCATTCAAATCATTTTTATGTGAGTATATAAATACTATTGTCTTAACTGCACACTAAGCTCAACACACTAAGCTCAAGTTAGCATTCTAGACGACATAAACACGCCGGTCAGGGTATGCCCAACGTATGTTTCTCCCCATGGCAACCTTTCAAGATTCCAAGGTTGGAAGTATCTTGTCTTGCCAATCAATAATCCCCTCCCTAAGTCGGTCTTCCCGGGCATTTCTTTGTAGTTTGCTGCCACAGATGAGTCTGCTATATAGTATCCCCTTCTTAACCCTTGCGAGCTCGGTGTCTTCCTACACAGAGTATGGAATGCAATAAACAGCTACGGTTTGACATGTATGTGAAAAATTTGATCCTGTTCATGGGTTATATTTTATATTCTTTATACTGAGGTTAACTATTCCTATCCTTCTAGCCACAGGGCCAATAAAGGGGAAATATTTGAGTAGACATCTAAAAAGATTGCGGGGTGCTAAAATAGACATGACAAAGCTGCATAATCACCGACTATTCTTGTACTATGTACTCCGTTTAGGCACATAGTAAACAATTGGCAGCCAGAAATAGAGAGCCCTACTATTCGTGAGCTCAGTGACTGAGCCATAAGTCGGCTTGTTCATTGAGGATCGAGTGGCCTCTCACCTCGAATCGATTGTTCTTTGGTGTCACTTGGGCACTTCTAGCCAAGGAAAGAAAAGAAGAGAAGAACCAAAGCAGTGTATGGTACCCGCGATTATTTCCAGGCCTCAAAAAACATCGTATTCGAGCTATGAACACGGGGATTTTGAAACTATAGCCTCTTTTCATTCCAACATTGCAATATACGAAGTACTTGGCAGACTTGGTTTTCGTACAGGCCCCGTTTCTGCTACTTTTCCAATATATGTTGGAAAGTTCGAATATAGTATGTTGTAAGTTGAGCCCATTGCAGCGAGAATGAGAAAATGCATAGCCCCTTGTGTGGATGCGTTTGGACCCCAAATTGTACTCCGAGCAACTAATCAATTATGGGATTGTGGTGGGTTTCTCTTGATATCCTTTGTTTTATCCTTATGTGACTCCGTGGCCATTGTCCTGAACAGGAGCGGTACAACTTCACATTCGGGCAATTAATTTTCAGTGATGACTTCGGGATGCCCGATGGATATAAACAATGAAAAGATCATCGGTGCTTTGTAGCCCTAACGGCATCCGTCCCACTGCCTTGCTTATGAACCCGACATTAATTTGCTCCTTCTTTGTGTGTACACTGAACAATATGTGCTATATCCCCCTCTCCGGGGAAGAGTGGATGCCGTTTTAGACCTATCCTTCCTAGGAAGGACTCTTTTATTCCAAGTTCTGTTCTATTCTGGCTTTGGATACGGACCATGACGGTCCACTATTGAACCCTCCTAAAGCGCACATAGTTTGTGTCTAAAGACAGCATGTCAAGCCATATGATATATGATATACTTGTCAAAGTCCCTATTCCACCGTACAATGCTTTTCTGTCCATTCCAGCGACGAGCTTCCGAACCTTTAAAACCACCCTCCGACCTTGACTATCTTCTCATGGATCTTTCATCCCTAGAGGGCACGCCGATGGTTAATCCAAAATTCATTGTTCCGCCAGATACGACCATTCCTCGTATTCATACACAGTCGCGTGTTTCAATTCAATATCTGCTCTCAAAACATCTGCCACCGAGACCTACCTCAACGGAGGCTATCTCACCAACACAGCATTGCAAAGGACTACAGGACTGGTCACCCAACCCTTCCATAATAAATGGCAATATAAGCTTCTGCCTGCAGACGTACCAACAATCCGCCGGACGCACTGTCTCTCAACTGCAATCCTCAATATGAATACGAGGTGCCCCCACATATACAACGCATTTCACATCCTCCAGCACAACCACGGAGCTGTGTGCCCTCACTTGGCTCGAATATGAAAAGAAATGGATTATTGGAGAGATATACATGCCCCGCACACATGATTCTCGTCCCCAAGATGATAGAGCATCTTCTCGATCACCAGTCTCACCAATTTCGCCCATTTCACCAATTACACCATAGGAGGACGTGTTTCGACGTCTAGACGAGCATATCGACTACTCGGGAGAATATGCCGAGCCAGCCTCCGCCCTATGATAGACGCAGATTTAGTCAAACACATGACACAGCTTTAGGAGATGATCGGGTTTCTAACTAGGTTGCAACTTCCCGAAGGATACACGAGAATCGACGGAATTGGGTGTGATTGAGCGTGGCGCCGCTTTTTTTGGTTAGCGTTGTAATCTTTCTGATATGTTATGGGGATATATTGATTTGGGGCTTGGCTCACATATCCATGAATAGCAAATAGATAGGCATTAACTGATGCAGTTTTAACTTTTCTTTGAAATAGTTCCGTGTAGAAGAACCCAAACACCGCTTATAGAGAAAGGGGTGATGACATCCATCCGGGTTGATCTCAAACTGTCTGACTTCTGGGTTGGCTAATTTCTCTCAGTGGCTCAGGGGGTATTATGATTCCAAATTTTAAAGCTGTATTCTACATATTTATCCTTCAAAATTTATGTTTTTTGCTCTCGCCTTTTCCAACCGTATAAAGGGCCCTTCCAAAACGAATCCCCCACCGTGCCCTCCAGTCACGGCGGTTTTTCGTTCCAGATGAAGGCATCCAACCCATATTCTTGAGTCGCCGCAACGAGCAATTCTTTCATCTTCTGTCACAAGATGATAAAATAGAAGGACAGTAATATCCATGTCTTTGACTGGAGTGGGGGCTTCATCTCGATATCCTATACATTGATCGAGCGTTTAATGGGGGTTTGTCTTTTTTGCCCACTGCTATATGCCTTACGAGGGGACTTTTGATGGCGGATGATGCCCCGTCAGCCGTTAATAAGCTCGCCTGTTATTGGCTCCTCTTAATATTGGCTTTTAGATCAATGTTGGCGGAAATGCGCTACCGGGAACGGAGCAGGGGTAGTGGTCATCAATGGGCCCATCTCCACTATCAATTTGAGCAATGTCAAATTCACTTCGACCTAGGATAGACTATCCTTAACATTGCTCTACTAAAGCGTTAGCGCCTTAATGTAAACGATCTTCTGTAAGTTTTGCAGGATGAAGAAACGAAATGATTAACCATGGGAATTCCGTGAGGAGATGGGCATGACAACGACAGCGTGGTAGCTCTAAGAGAGGGCATAGATACCTCGATGAAATAGCCAGCAAAGGGATTTGTTATTTTACTGTTATACTTCTCTCATGCTCGACCCATTCTAAGCTTTTTAGTAGACTAGACTTTATAACACTTATTTTCAACTTGGCTCGCCTTGCTCCCATTTTTCAGGTTCATTTTGTAAATCAGACTTTTGTGATGACGCTTTCAGATCGGTGTTTCACCTATGTTTTGCCCACAAGAGACATTTGTACTATGTATACAAGACGAGTCATAATGGGGCCAAGACTTTGGCCTCGATATGTTTTATAAGTATACCCCCACATGGAGAGCTAAGATGTAGCTGGATTGGTCTAGACAAGATTAGTGTGAGTAATCTCCAGGTGAAGAGCCCAATACAGGGGATTTCCCCTCTTTGAGACGCCAGTCACGGCGCTGCTGTATGTCTGTCACCCGTCAGCGTAGGAGACTAGCAAACTGCATATTGGATCCACTGCTCCACCGCGAGTTATCGACGGCCTCGCTGAACACCCCTGCAAGTTCCGTTGAGGGGGCAATAGGATTAAAGGACGAAAAGAAGAAGATAGAATACTCTCGAATCACTTCGACTTGTTTTTCCCCTCCCCCTCGCGGCTGGGTATCAATCCCGGTCAAGGAATGAGTGTGACTCCATTGCTCCAATTCTTTTGCGCGCTAACACAGACCAGGAGCTCTCCAGCCTCTGGATTATTTGCCAGCCAGTAGCAAAGATGGGACATATGATAGAATAGAAAAAAAAATTATATTATAAGAGGACAGACCCGACGAATTTCTCGGTCTGGTTTTCATCCCGGCATCAAGCATCAAGGCTACCAAACCCAGTCCGCAACAACCTCTTTTGTTTATTTATTATTGTCTAAGAATAATATGACAGGAATCAAAGAGTGAGACAAGGCATGGCTCAAACTTGAATCAAAAAGATCTCAAGTCCAAAAGTTGAAGTTGCAAAAAAAAGTTGCCAAAAGTCCAAAGTTGATATTCCCAAGTTCCCTCCCATCCGTGGTTCACACCTGGGAATCTCCCCGATTCTACCGCCTTCGATAGAAAAAAAAAAAAAAAGCCCTCCCCACCCCCAATGGTCCAACTCGCCCACATCTTCAAAAAGGACAAGGATAAGGAGAAGACAGAGAAGAACAAACCTGATATACGTTCATCCCGAAATTCCTTTTCCGCTTCGCGCACATCCCCATCTCCGAAGTCGCCCTCCAAATCCCCAACCAAGTCATCTACCAAACCTCCCTCCAAATCCTCGTCCCCCACCAAACCCTCCAAACCCTCCAAACCCTCCAAATCTTCCAAACAATCCTATTTTTCCCACAGTCGGTCATCCTCCAATTCCGGACCGACCGCAAATTTCAAGTTTGCCCGGTCTTCGCGTGACCAGGACATACATCCACTCAATCTCCCACCTGACGAGTTACGTCGTCGATTGTCGGCCATGGCAGCATCCAACGAAGAGCAGCGGAGCTCCATGGATATTGATCCCCAGGAACCCCAGCATAATGGCGTGAATGGCACTGAGGAGCGGAGTCCGACCCCGCCACCACACCAGCCGAATTCAGCTTCTGCCGACGAGGCCGACTCCTTCAAGTTGGCCGGAAACAAGTTCTTCAAGGATGGCAACTATCGACGAGCTATTGAGGAATACAACAAGGGTATGCACTTTCCTATCTCACAGGGACGCCGTGTCTCATGAATTAGCCTTGAATGAGCGGGGTCGCTGATGATTTTTGTCTACTGCAGCCATCGAGATCAATCCCAACTCATCGGCCTATCTCTCTAACCGAGCGGCGGCGTACATGTCTGCTAAACAATTTCCGAACGCGCTTGAGGATGTTCAGCGCTCTAACGAGCTCGATCCTAACAACCCAAAGATCATGCACCGATGGGCTAAGATCCTGACGAGTTTGGGTCGACCCGCAGAGGCCTTGGAGGTGCTCTCACGCATCCAGCCACCAGCGACCGCCACTGATCGGGCAGCCGCAGAGAAGATGCTGCGCTTCGTTACGCAAGCTGAAGAGACAATAGCGCAAGACCGCGGTCTGTCGATGGTGATCTATTGTTTAGACCAGGCACGACAAGGACTCGGACAAGGTGTCAGGGAGCCCCGCAAGTGGACACTTTTGGCCGCCGAGGCCCATCTGAAGCTGAACAACGTCAACTCGCTAGGCAAGGCACAGGACATTGCGATCAGCTTGCTGCGCGAGAACAGCCAAGACCCGGATGCGATGATTATCCGTGCCCGCGCCTTCTATGCCCTCGGTGAGACCGAGCAGGCGCAGAAACTTTTGAAGATGTGCCTCGGGCTGGACCCAGACATGAAGCAGGCCATCAAGCTGCTGCGCATTGTGCAGAAGTTGGCTCGCACAAAGGAGGAAGGAAACAACGCTTTCAAGGCCAAGGATTATCGCCGTGCCATCGAGCTTTGGGCTCAAGCTCTCGAGGTTGACCCCTCCAACAAGGACATGAATGCCAAGATTCTGGGTAACCGGGCTCAGGCTTATATCAACTTGAAGGAGTATGATTCTGCCATTCAGGACTGTACTGAAGCTCTCCGTCTCGACCCCGGGTATATTAAGGCCATGAAGTGCCGTGCCAAGGCCCACGGCAAGGCCGGTAACTGGGAGGAGGCTGTTCGTGACTATAAGAGCGTTGCTGAGAACAACCCCAGCGAGAGTGGCATTGCGGAGGAGATCCGCGAAGCCGAATTTGAGCTGAAGAAGTCCCAGCGCAAAGACTACTATAAGATTTTGGGAATTGACAAGGATGCCAGCGACCAGGAAATCAAGAAGGCCTACCGCAAGCTGGCTATTGTGTACCACCCAGATAAGAACCGTGACGGTGCAGCCGGTGATGAGAAGTTCAAAGAAATTGGTGAAGCCTATGAGAATTTGATCGATCCTCAGTAAGTCCGCCACAACTTTCAACAACATTCGACACAAAGCTAACCTTATTATCAGGAAACGTGCCGCTTTTGATAACGGAGACGATCTGAGGTCTGAAATGTACGGGGGCGGCGGTTTCCCCGGCGGCGGTGGTGGTTTCCCCGGCGGCGGGTTTGGCGGTGGTGGCTTTGGCGGTGGTGGCTTCGGCGGCGGCGTTCAGATCGATCCCGAAATGCTTCGCAACATGATGAACGGCGGCGGCGGCGGCGACCCCTTCGGCCATTCTCATGGCGGCTTCCACTTTTAGATGAAGCCATCTAACCCATTCTATTCACTCGATACCATGACCGATTCTTTCTTCTTTCGTCCCAAGGCGACGAAACCCCAAAACAGGAATTCGCATGTCTTTAACCGGAGTTGGAGTTGCACCTCAATATCTTCCATATTGATTTGTTGGATATTGGGGTTTCACTTTTTTGCCCACTGCCATGTCACGATTTTTTCACCATGTTTTTGCGAGACGCCATATGATTCACGATATGATAGATTTGAAGTTTTTTTTCTCTTCGGTCTAAACCTTTCTTTCCCACTTTTCTTTTTCGCCCCTGTGGCTTCTTTCGGGGGATTTTGTATATGAGTGCTGCAATCTGGAGTGAATCTACGAGAACAGTGCATTTATGGTCGATGGTTTTGCAATCCATGTGTACAGAAGACTTACAAGCTCTACATCCGATCACCCATTTTCGGCGTTTGTCTTTTCTCTATTTCTTCTCTTGAGATTCGCTCTTGACTTTGACTTTTGACTTTTTACTTAAGAGATATTTGCTTCGCATGTTCTAGCTCCCGATACACTTTGTGAGGTTGTCATTCTTGGTTCCATATAGTCAAGCAAAAGGATATACAGCGTATATACTAGAATGACACTCATAATGCAAAGATTTTCTCTCAGATGTGATTCATTCTCATACAATTCGCAGCTAAATAACGGCAGTTCTTTCTAACCCCTACTACATGTACTTAGTGAATAGACCTCATATAAGAAATTTTGAACTAGCAACATAATCCTGAGGTCGGTCTATGCTTCCCTTTACTCATTACGACGGCGTCATGATGATTGGTCTATAGTATCTAGCTTGAAGAAAAATTCAGCTAATCACACGAAATTCTCAGTTCCTCATCAGAAATATTGCAGCCCACGAGACAGCACTCGACCGGAGACGGGTGAGCCTTTAGGGCTTTTATCTTTCTTTAGCCAATCTCAACGCTAATTCGCAGTAGGTTTCCGTTGAAAGATGTCAATTACGGTCCATTGGAATGTGATGAGTCTTCATTGATTCTGGACTCGCGTATACCGTTCTGATACGGGAACTCCAATTCCACACCACCTATGTAGGAGGCGACACCTGATTTTGGTCGACCCTTACAGCCAGCTCCCGGCGAGGGCTCGCTTGGCAGAGATTCTGTATACATAATGCTAGGTTGGAATAGATGGAATGGGTCTGGCGAAGTAGCTATAGTATTGAGAGTCAACCTCAGGTCAAAGAGAGGTTATGAAGACCCTAGGTTTGAACTATCCAGGTTAGAAGTATCTCTTTCAGGGCGAATTGTGCTGATATCCGAATATAATCTCCATGCTTCGGTCGTTCACCCCTATGAAGTGGAATAATATAGCACTCTCGTTGCCGATCTGTCTTATAGAATGGTTGGCCATGCTATGTATTCATAATAAACAATATGAGCAATCGTAATGTTCTGTGATATATGTACTTCTCCTCAACATGCTGAACAACTGTACTAATAAGTATAAAACAAATAAACCAGGGGAATCTCAAAGAATATAGAACAAAACAAGAAAAGCGAACGAATATACCGGACAGAAGAGCATACAGCAAACTCCGCCGCTAATGAGTGATGACGTTCAAGTCAAATCGGACACAAGAGGGGGCATATAGAGATAAATGGTGAAGATAAAATAAGATGCAAGAGAATAAACAAGAAACGCTGGCATGAAATGTCTTCAATCAAACATAACCGAGAGCAGTGAGCATAGTTTTGCATTCAGGGACCGGCAGACCGCAGACACCCAGCGCGCGGACCAGAGCACCAGCCCGAAGCCGCTGGAGACCGATAGCGACCTTCCAGGCCTCAGTATCCTGTATTACAAAGACATACTTCTTGCCTTCTTGGTCACGAACACTGGCGCGGAGAACGTGCAAACCACGGGACTCCCCCTGGGGCGGGTGAACGGGGCCACCGTCGTGGCTGGCGGTAGTGCTGCGCGCGAAACGCGCATTGGGCGAAGCTAGGCGGCAAGTATTCTTGCATACTTTAAGCAAGTTACCGAGAAAGGCCTCTGATTCTTCGTTGGTGGGAACGTTGTTTCCGCGACGGAAAGAGAAAGGGTTGCTGGACGCAGCTTTGGCGGATGTAGTGGCGTTTACCTGTGGACACCACACCTCCGCCAGCTTGAGGGTCCATGCCTTGACATCCCACTCACGCTGGCCGATGCCGCGTAAATCATCGTCGATGAAGAGGCCTTCAGTTGTGATGCGCAGTACCAGCCCATCGGTGATCATGCCTTGGCCTGAAACAAGTTGCGCCACTGGGGTCTTCATAAAGGCATTGTTGAAGGCGTATACACCTTGGATCACGATCTTATCTGGATCTTTGGTGGAATATGTACTGCGATGTGAGGGAGGAGGTGTTGTGCGCGCAGTCGAGTGAGAATGTGCATATGAAGACTCGGAGGATACGGATGTACCGGCCGCATATGGCCGCCGTGGCCGGTCGTAGGGGCGAAATGAGTACGCATCGTCGTCGTTGGCAGTTTTTGCGGTTGAGTGGGGTGCTGGTTTCTTGGGAGAAGGTGTGCGAGGCACATTGCTAGTACTAGCTGGCTTCGGCGGTGGTGATTTGGCAGCGGCTTCGTTCTTTGCGTCTTGCGCCTTCTTCTCGGCGTATTTCTTGCTTGCTGCTTCCTTGAGCGCCGCAAATTTAGCCATGGCTTCTTTCTGAGCGGCGGCCTTCGCGGCAGCTTCCTTCTCAGCAGCTTCTTTGGCGGCCTTCTCTTTGGCTTCGGCTTCCAACTTTTCGAGTTTGGCCTTCGCCTCAGCTTCGGCTTTTGCCTGTCTCTCGCGGGCCTCTGCGGCTTCCTTCTCCAGTCGCTCGCGTGCCTCCTTCTCTGCAGCGGCCCTTGCAGCAGCCATCTCCTTTTCGAGCTGCTCGCGCCGTTCCTGTAATTCTTTCTCCATTGCTTCGCGCTCGCGTTTTTTCTCTTTTTCTTTGTTATCTGCGTCACGCTTGCGCTTGAACTCCTCCATCTTTCGGCGTAGCTCCTCTTTGCGTCTCGTTTCTTCTCTTGCTCGCTCCCGTTCAGCTTCTTCCTTAGCCCGTTCTCTAGCCCGCTCCTCTCTAGCCCGCTCCTCCTTGATGCGTTCTTCTCTGGCACGCTCCTCCTTGATGCGTTCCTCTCTGGCACGCTCCTCTTTGATGCGCTCTTCTTTAGCACGCTCCTCCTTAGCGCGTTCCTCCCTGGCTCGTTCCTCCCTGGCTCGTTCCTCCCTGGCTCGTTCTTGCTTGGCTCGTTCTTGCTTGGCTCGTTCTTGCTTAGCTCGTTCTTCTCTAACGCGCTCCTCTCTAGCACGTTCCTCCCGAGCACGCTCTTCCCTAGCACGCTGCTCCTTGGCTCGTTCCTCCTTAGCCCGCTCTTCCCTGGCACGCTCTTCCCTAGCTCGTTGCTCCTTGGCTCGTTCCTCCTGAGCTCGTTGCTCCTTAGCTTGCTCTTCTTTGGCGCGCTTTTCAGCCTCCTCCTTTTCACGTTTGTTATTATCAGAATTTGGAGGAGGACCAGAGCCATGTTGATTACCGGAATATTGGTTGCCGTGGGTTTGTCCTCCACCAAAGTTTCCTCCCTGTTGTCTTTGTTGACCCGCCCCGTTGCCACCATAATTGGCACCAGACGATTGCTGGTTGGTGTTTGGACCGGCATTCCTAGGGCCACCCGGGCCTCCAGGACCGCCTGGCCCCCCAGAACCACCACCAAAGCCACCAAATCCGAACCGCCCACCTCGAGGGCCGCTATTGCCTTTATTGCCTCCTGAGCTGGCGGACTGAGTGGAGCCAAAAAGCCATCCAGCGACACCCACCCCGATCGCAAGTACTGCCATACCCGTACCATTGCCGCTAGCGACCGTGGCTATATACCATGCCTTCACAACCGGGGAGATGTACGACCACACAAAGCATGTAAGGAGAGTACTTGCGACGCCCGCTAGGAAACTGTTTCGGTTGCACTGCAGCGACGGAAGATAGAGGAAGCCCGAGCCAGCGGAGTGAGGTGGGATGATAAAGATGTCGTAGTTGCCATCTGGCAGGTCCGAGGATTTGCGATATTCGCCTTCAGTCGTCTGGGGATTTTCACCATGAGGCGGCGGCGGTGGCGGCGGACCGTCCATGTTAGATCAGTCCTGAGCGACAATAGGGTAAATATATATGCGCCTCAGTGTAGCGAAGCGCAGCGTCGGAAGGACTAGCTACAGCCTGGGTTGATCTGCCGGATCAATCTTAGATGGACAAGTTCTCGCGGTTGAGAGTCAACTGCCAGGTCATATTAGTCTGACAAGTGTTGCACTGAGGCCTTAGGCACTCAGCGCCGTGGAGGGTACTCAGATGCCAAATCCAAGAAAAAAGGGCAAAACAAAGATAAAAAATCCAAACAAAATCCAAATCGCAAAGCCAAAAGAAAAAGCTGAAAGCGCGGGAGGACTTGAGTTTGACTTGGGGGGGGGGGGGNGGGGGGGGGGGGGGGTTTGTTTGGAAGAGGAGTGTGTGGGAGCTAAGGATCGGCGCCAACGCTTCCTGCACCACTCGACGTGGCCATCACATTTACAAAACAAAATTTCGCAATGCGGATGAGAAAACAAACGAGAGAGCTGTCTATAGTTTTTGATGCGGCTCCCCGTATATTATCCGAATTATGTTGGATTCCTCGGAGGCCACGCGATTCTACGTAGGGCTATGTGACCGACCAGAAATAGCCCCAAGGGATGGAATTACAAGAACAATTACAGTGAACGCCCTACCTATAGCAATGGAATTGTTCAAAGCTATGACTACACAAGTGTTTGTTCTTAAACATTCGTCTTTTAAGTGGGCTTTTCAGCCTGCAAAGGCATCAATGCTTAGAGTCGTGTCAATATGGCAAAAGTACGGCTGTTTTGTTTTGATTTTACTCCTTTGGGAAAGGACTCGGTTACGTCAGCTAGGAATATTGCCAAGGTATTCTTCCAAGATTCTGACCGCCTTGCTCTCCGCTTTCTTGGCTTACACTAAGAAGGGTAATTAGGTGGGAAATAGAAGTATGTTGTACAACATAGTTCGAGGCCTATAATTTACAGCATAGGTTCAAAGATATATGGTATCTCGCATCCTGCTATGCTAATAAATTCTACGTCAATTTTGGGGTTATTTCTACTCGGTGACTAAGAGGGTCTCGTATTCGCATTCACATCACTTGAGCCTCTTGCCAGCGCATTATAAGGTAGGGTACTTCGGATTTTCACATTGTGCTGTGAAGATCCAACCCATGCGAGCTTCATATAGTTCATACTAGCAATTGCCGTTGATGCATATTTGTAAAAACACCCCTGTGTACCTCGAGCTGCAAGAACCTTTGGTCCTAGTATGTCCCTCAGGTGTTTTGGTCCCGAGAATATAGCGCTGAGAGCGGGAGCGCTAGGGAAACACTTGTTAATCTTGCGGTCAAGCGGTTGGGGGAGATAGTTGGAACGTAGTGGGTCCAAGATATTCGAGTTGGAGGATGTAGCCACCGAGGCTTGTTCACAGGATGGTGTGGAGAGAGTGTGGTAAAATTCGAGTATGAGGTTAGGGAAGGGCTCATGACCCAGGAAAAAATATATATAAAAAAAGGCAAGCAGCTGTATTTCATGGTCACCACCCACAGATCTTGCGAGACGGCGTACGATAATATAGACGTCCCATGATCGGGGCATGAGGTGCGGGACCATGACCAGGGAGAAGAGGATGTAGGGCCTCATGAGAGGCACTTGTAGTCATTCTGGCCCACTTAGGCCATGCTGAACACTGGATATTAGTCTGACAGTGGGACACCGTAGTGAAAGTAGTTTAGGAGAAGTAAATGTGAAAGACAGCCTCGATGGTAAGGAGCAAGACTCGGCAGAACGTGATCCGCACCCGGTGATTGGGTGGCTTTCCACTTGAGATTCCAATACCCTCTCTCTATCCATCGCAGTGTTGATCGTTTTCTTTTTACCTCACCTCAGCCTCAAATCTTGTTGTGTGCCCCCTGTAATAGTCTGGTAGTCAGGTACTACCCCGTGTCTCCGCGTCCCCGCCAACTTGTCCTTTTAATCCCGCTCCCAGGCACCTATCTCCGCCAACCTTGAACCCCCCCCAATCTCCGTCTCACTCTCTATGCCGCGTCGCTAGCCACCGAGAACCGATTCACGACCTGCCCTTGAAGGGCACCCCGGCACCATGTCCTCACAATCTCACCACGGTCATTCCGCGACGTCACGTCAATTCCCCGTCTACAATCCCGTCGCCGCAGTGACAGCACCTGCGGGGACCTTGCTTCCGGGCACCAAGATTCAAGTTGGCAGCCATCGCGTGGTAGTGGAGAAGTACCTCTCTGAAGGTGGTTTTGCTCATGTCTACGTGGTGCGATTGCCCCAGCCAGTCAACGGGACCGAAACCGCAGTGCTGAAACGGGTGGCTGTGCCTGACAAGGCGGCCCTTGCCAACATGCGCACTGAGGTAGAAACTATGAAGAAGCTCAAGGGTCACCGGCACATTGTGAAATATATTGATTCGCATGCCTCGCAGCTGCGTGGAGGCGGATATGAGGTGTTCCTGGTCATGGAGTACTGCGCAGGTGGTGGTCTTATCGACTTCATGAACACCCGGCTTCAACACCGCTTGACAGAGCCGGAGATCGTTAAAATCTTCTCCGATGTTGCCGAAGGTGTTGCGTGCATGCATTATCTTAAACCGCCCCTCCTCCACCGTGATCTGAAAGTTGAGAACGTTTTGATCTCGGGTAAGGGGAGTTCCGCCACCTACAAACTATGTGATTTTGGATCATCGGCACCCCCTCGTCCCGCTGCTACTTCTGCCGCTGAGGGCCGCTTGATCGAAGATGATGTGCAGCGGCATACGACGCTGCAGTACCGAAGCCCAGAGATGATTGATGTCTATCGGAAGCAACCGATTGACGAAAAGAGTGATATCTGGGCTCTTGGTGTGTTTTTGTACAAATTATGCTACTATACAACCCCCTTCGAAGAGGTCGGTCAGATGGCTATTCTCAACGCGACCTTCAAATACCCTTCTTACCCTTCATTTTCGAGTCGGCTAAAGCTGTTCATTGGTGAGTTTAGAACCTTTCTTTGGCCTATATTCAATCACCAATCACCGATGGCTGACAACTCTGCACAGGCTCAATGTTGAAGGAAGATCCCCGTAATCGCCCCAACATATACGAAGTTGTGCACGAGGTGTGCAAAATGCAAGGAAAGGAAGTTCCTATCAAAGACGTATGTCGCCGCATGCCTCTTTTAGTTACCTGACACTAAATGTCGTTTAGATCTATTCCAACCGCTCTGTTTCGGAGGTGCGCAAATATCAAGAGTTACCACCCACACCCACGGAAGCTCCTGCGGTGGGCGCAGTATTTTCGCCTCCAATGCAGGAGACCGAGATAATCCCGGAGATTGCGCCTATGCGGCGTGGTCGACCTGGGAAATCCCCGTCGTCCCAACCTAGCTCCGAGAGACCGAGTGCTTCGCCATATCGAGCCGCTGCTGAAGGTTCGTCAAATGATCCGTTTGCAGCCCTGGATGGGAGCGCAGCCCGAAAGAAGACAGCAGAGGAAATGTCAAAACGATTCCCCTCCCTGGACCAGTTTGATATTTTGCATGAGAAAGGGAACAAGTTTGAATTCGAGCCAACTGTTGAATCTAAGCCTGAGGACGAGGATCTATCTCGAAGACTCACCAACGCCCTAGCCGATGATGCCTTTGCCCGACGTGTCTCGCCCGAACGTGCGCCGAAGCCGGTCTATAAGCGATCGTCCCAGACTTCCCCTGTCCGAGCACCTAATTTGCGTGAAATTCCCGTCCCCGCACCGCAGGCTGTTCCCTTGTATCAGCCAACTCCTCAGCGGCCCGCAATGGTGTCGACGGGTACCATGACCTCACCCATTCAAACACCTCTGCCAGAGCCAAAGCTGACCAGTCGCCCAATTTATCGATTCCCTTCTTCTGATAATGAACACCGATCTTCTAGCGAGCCATTTACAACCGAGGAGGAACAAAGAGTTACACGACCGCATAAAGCGCCATCCCCTCCGATGTCGAGTTTGAATGTGGAAGGAAGCTCGCGGCTGCCCTCTGACCGTATATCCAGCCAGTCTAACTCTGCGCGCCCCTCGATGGAAACCCTGAGACGGCCTTCGACGCTAGAGGTAAATGATCCCGTGGGACGTTCTAAATCCGCTGTTGGAAAGGCTCGACCGATGTCAGTCCAGTCGGGAGTGAGATATGACTTGCCGCGTGACTCTGAGAGCCCGCGGTCTTCGCTCGATATGCCCCGCCTGCAGTACGAGGGCGGCGCACCACTACGCTCAGTGCGTACCGATGTGGATCGCGAGTCTGATCGGACTATTTCCTCCGATGTCGATTACCTACGCGCTATGGAGGAAGAAGAGAGCAACCGGAAGCGCGAGAAACGCTCTAGTGGTAGCTACAAACACAATAAGCGCGGTAGTTTGTCTACTTTGTCGCTTTCAGGAGGAAAGAACCTATTTGCTAGTCGATTTGGCGACGCATTCCGACGATTTGAGGCGGGCAACCAAGAAAAATCCTCCTCGCCATCGGCAGAGGATGCGCCTCGGCAGGGTCTGATTGAGCTGTCGGATTCAGGCGAGGACAGTCTTTCACCAAATGACGAGATCGCCTTGGAAGACGTGGACCAAGACGACATATCACCGGAGATGCGCCGGGAGCTGGAACGCCGCCGTCTCTCCCAAGAGGAGAAACGAGTTGCCAATGCCGCAGCTGAGTACCGGCGCCGGGTTGCAGAAGGTGACGGGGGCGGAAGAGCGATAGGCGATGGCACACGCTCCCGCACGATTCTGAATAAGGTACAATCGTTGCTTGGAGAGTCTGAAAAACCGACCGTTCCAAAGACTGCTACTGGGTATGGACGATTCACGGAGACTTCCTCTTCTTTGCAGGCAAAGCAGAGTGAGGCCGGACCCACCATCTCCAGCCAGCTGCCGGCTTCTCGCACACCTGGCCCGACGTACCCTCCTCGTGACAGTTCAATGGCACTCGCGGATCGCCCAGACGGCCCCAATATCTCTGCAGGTCTCCCGCAATCTGTCGCCCCTACCAGTTACCCATCAACGCAGCGTCCCACAGCTAGACCGGCTGCACCCCCCAAGCCCAAGAATTTGCGCGCTGGTCCAGCCACCTCGCGACCGGGGACTGGTCATGGCCATGGTTCCTCCGAAGAGACTCCGGCAAGCCCCGGAGAGGACTGGGAGGCCAAATTCAGCCAGCGTTTCCCAAGCTTGTCCGGACTTGAGATGGAGACAGAGATCAAAATCCCGAAACTTTCTAGCTTGAGGACGCGGGAAGTGTAGAGTATAGGATACAAGTCTTGTTTGTTTCACCCGATGCAGTTTCAGCGTGTGTTCGTATGTTCGCCGCGCGGACGCAACTCGGGGAATGACACGAGCTATGCATATATAGACAGTGACATATTGGACATTACATAAGTTCTCTTTGAAAACAGAATCTAAAAAACTAGTTTCATTCTCTGTAACCATAGCTGGGAATGCACTCGATCTCAACTCTTAAGGGCTGTCCTCACACCGCCTTTGTTTCTCCCCGCAAGAGCAGGAGAAACCTCACTTTCGGGTTATAGACCAGCACCTATTTTCAATATATCAGATCATGGCGCCAGTGACTTTGAAAACGGTCGATGGTGAGTTGCGAGCAGCCGGTAGCTCTGAAATTACACATGCTAATCCCTCATCCAGACGACCTCAAAGATGTGATCCAGCACTTATTCGAGATCCAATCCGCGGTCCACGGCTATCTGGGCCCAGAGACACAGCATGAGCTTGTGCGCAAGATGTATGTCAGCTGCAATGGCATCCTATGTTCCCTCCATTCCTCCATGCCCATAAATGTGCTCCGTCAGAGCAAAAGACCCCCCATCTCCACACACCACCCAAAACTAATCCACTCCAGCAAAAACCTAACTGTCGCCCTCTCGACTTTGTCAACACATACCCAACTCCCACCAACACAAGAAAACCAACCAGACACAAACACCGACCCCTCCAATCCCTCCCTCGCCAGCATTCAGCTCCCACCAGAGATAATCGACTACGTTGACTCGGCGCGTAACCCGGATATCTACACGCGAGAGTTCGTCGAGCTTGTGCAGCGTGGGAATCAGGACCTGCGCGGGAAGCGTGAGGCCTTTGCGAGCTTCCGTGACGTGCTGGCCCGTGAGATGCGCAGCGCTATGCCCGAGTGTCGCGGCGAGGTTGATCGCGTGGTTGCTGCGACGGGTGGGGTAGTCGATAGACCTGACGGCGTTGCCGGGGATGCGGCTACGTCTGGGGGTGGAAATTGAACGCCGTTTGATGGGTTTATAAGGTGCAAGTCTGGTATTCCTGATTGGCAGAGTTGCCTTTCGTTGGCCGAGGGTTGACGCCGTGGCCTGAGGTCTAGGCCTGCCTTGATATTCGGTCGTTGCCTTCAGCCGTTTGTTTGAAGTTCATGGAGCTGGTGCATTCATTGGAGTTTTTTATGGTTCGCATTAAGCACGGCGTTTACAAAGGCTTTTTTTTCTCTTTCAATGATAGCTAAGAAGTCTTTATAGCGGCCTTTTGATTTTTAATAATTCAACCGCTAAGCTCAGAAGTGTTGCTTACATATGCTACATTTCTAATATTCATATATATTCTATATCTAATACCGCCGATCGACTGTGCTATATCATTAGCATGACCATGTTTGATGCTGCCCGACATGTAAGGCCACTAAAGCTATGGCTGACGTCATTGAATGAGTATCCCGAGGTCCAATGGATGGAGCTCATCTCGGAACAAGAGTTTCCGGACCTGATGAACCACAATGCCAACTCGAAGGAGCCGATCGGCGGCAGCGTGTGTGCATTGTCGCCAGAAAAAGGTGTGTATTTCGGGCCTACATGGGGATTTTGAACTCATTGTCGGATTAAACAAGTAGTTGAAGTGTGATGCCCAGAGGCCCCAGTGTGGGAACTGTCTAGCCAAGAGTATCGATTGTCAGCTAGGCGTGGTCCAGAATAAACCAAGGTACAAATGAGATCCCTACAGACGAATTACAAGTTGCTCATGCTTTACTTTTAGGCCGACCAACCACCGCATTGCGGAATTAGAGCAGGAGAATGAAATCCTTCGACGGAAATGTGCCCAGCTTCGGGGAAACAACACCACTTCTGCCGGAAGGATTCAATCAGAGCCGGAGCATTCTGTTACATCGGAAAGTACTCCACGTACTCCACGTACTCCATTGCCTTTCTCGAGAATAGCGGGTATTGGTCTTTCGCGGAACGACTCTCCCTCAACTTCAACTAGAGATGCATCACACCCAGAAGTACCGGAGAACGACCGCAGAAACACGTCATTGTATCATGGTCCAACGAGCACAGTGTATGATTATACAAGTCCAAATCACAGTGAGCAGAATAGACTAGGGCAATGGAACGAAGAGGGAACACGGCATTTTCTCTTTTCTCAGACAGCGAGGCAGAGTAAGTCGGAACTCATGCAACATCAAATATGGTTATGGTACTAATTAGGAGATAATAGGACAGCTAGAGCCACTTAATCTTGCCGCCGGAAAACTCGACTTTGATGGCATTGATCCCGAGATCGGCATGCATCTACTCTCCATATACTGGAGTCGTCAGCTTTACACAGCACAGATAATTTACCGGCCGGCTTTCATGCGCGATATGGCCTGTGGGGGTCCATACTTTTCCAAACTGCTTCTAAATGCGATATTTTTCGTAGTTTCGAAGCACTGTGACCGACCAGAACTTCGTTCCGACCCAAATGATATTACGACTGCAGGATGGAAGTTCCGGCAACGCTTCACATATCTTTTACGAGATTGTTTCGATAAAAGCGAAATTACCACCCTTCAGGCATTGCTGATTATGTCCAATGCACTTTTTTCTAGATGTGATGAACGGAGTCTGTCATGGCTATACGCTGGAAATGCATTTAATATGTTCATTGATCTTGGTCTGCATGTGCTTCCTTCTGTGGATAGTATCCCTGCCGAGGAGCTTGAGATTCGAAAGCGAGTTCTCTGGGGAGCATACTGTGAGCAATCGCTTCCCTATACTGGATATTGTCCCACGAATTACCTCTTAACTTCCCTGGTAGTAATTGATAAGATCCAGTGTCTTTTCCAAGGAAGACCTCCGCTTCTCAACCGTGTGAACCTGAGAGCGTCACTAGACTTCCTGGATGACTATGACGAGCTTGAACCGTTTCAAGATATCACATACATGGCTATAAAGCCTCGAGGAGTGGTTCCATCACTGAATGTTTCTTTGCTCACCAATTTGTGCGATTTGACCACAATTGTGGAACGTGTTCTTCGTGAGATTTATTCGGAATCTCGAGAGTCAAGTATTGTCCACAGGGCAAATATCTCAGAGGAAATAAAGTCACAGCTGAAAACCTGGCGTCAAAATTTGCCACTTCGGCTTGACTACCTGTCATTCCCAGACCAGGCGGTTCTCCTGCCTCAGTCTGCCTGTCTTTTGTAGGTTCCTTGCACCAACAAAGAGTGATTGATGGCTGCTAACTACTAACAAGAGCTCTATTCAATGTGCTTATCATTTTGGTTCACCGTCCTCTAATAATTGGCCACGACGGGGTCATCAATTCAACAACTGCCCATGAGTCAGTGAACGCATGTACAGCAGCTGCGAACCAAATTGTTCAGATTCTCCATGACTACTCGCAGCACTTCTCTCTGAGCAGTGCACCGTATATGCTCTCTTACGCTACATATATCAGTGCAACGATCCACGCACGGATTGTTGCACAGAAAGGGAGTAACTCAACTGTGTTCCAATCACTGCTTCTTTGCCGGAATATTCTTGTGGAACATACACGCCTCTATTCTGCAGCAGAAAAGGCTAGGGAAAATTTGGATAAGTTGATTACTCACTTAGGAATCAGTGCTACAGACGAAAATCTACGCACTGGAAGCTCCGGGGGCTCTGAGAACACCTTTCCCAGCGAGCACATGCTCGTGGATGAGTCTATGAACGTTGCGAGAGAATCTGGCGTTGCAGATCGTGCACTTGAATTTGGATCTTCCTTGTTGAATTTGGAACTATCGGACCTGGACCTTGAAGCAATTGCTCAAGGCTTTCAGGTTGATGTAGAGTCGCATTCGTTTTGGAATTCTTTGGTATGAATGATTATACCCTCACGACATGCATCCATGAGCCCTTATGATTTACGCGACCAACAATAGCGAGAGAAACAGAAATTGCTTCAATGGCAAATATGATGCCCTAGCTACCGTAAGGCCCAGAGGCAGTCCTGCCTGATTTTTGGGTGACAATTTCCATCTCACTCGCGAGTGAACTAGTCAGAGCACCAACATCAGTCACAACGTTGACCAAGTCATACCCCAAGTCGGCATATTTCTTTGCCTGCTTTCCATTTCCGCAGTAGATTCCAGCCTTTTTGCCTGCCTTGTGCGCTGAAGACAGAACCTTCTCAATGGCTTGTTCCAATTCAGGCGCAAAAGTACTACCTAGCACGGGGTGCCCGATACCATTGCCTAGGTCAAAAGGTCCGACAAATAACAAATCGAGTCCCTCGACAGCGGCGATGGAATCGACATTGTCAAAAGCCTCTTTCGTCTCAATCTGAACCGAGAGCAGGAGATTGGCATTGGCCTCAGTCAGATACTGGGTGGCTGATACATCCCTGCCAAACCTATCCATCGGGAAAGGTGATCCGAACCCTCGCTTCCCTTGTGGTGGGAACCGGCAGGCCTCGACGAAGGCCTTTGTGTCTTCCACTGTTCGCACGAGAGGAGCGAGAACTCCGTGTGCGCCTGCGTCCAGGGCACCTATGCAAAAGATGAGAAATCGTCAAATGGGCTAGCGATATCAAGCTTGTTCGGCATACGTTTAATCATCCAAGATTGGAAATCTGGAACGCGAACAATCGGGCTCACTCCATATGACGTTATCGCGGGGACAGCTTCATGCATTGCGGCGTCTGCGAGAAATATTAGCATGGAATTCCGAACAAGGGCAAAACTACTAACCATCGATATTTCCATGTTCACAGTCCACTAACACCCAATCGTATCCAGCTCGTGCTAGGGTACGAGACATGTTGCTGCCGGGCAATAGTTGCCACACTCCCAGAGCAAGGCCGCCCTTGTCGAGCACTGTCTTCACGCGGTTAAGACCTTGCATTGTTGATGAGTCTGTCGTAGGTGAGTTATTGGAAATTGAATGAATAAAGTAGTCAATTTATAACAGCATTCGATGTCATATCTACGAGATATCGATATCCGGATCGTCACATCCCGAGGGGCGAAAAATCTCGGCTTATCTCCGTGATCACGCGGGGCAATTCAACGAATTGTACGGAGTACAATTCCAATGATTCGGTGCCAAAATGGCTCGGGAAGTGTCTCCCGAATGCACTCCGCATTTTTCAGAGCACAAATGGGAAGCTCTCCATATATAATCCATTGTCACCCCTCTCATCCATGGGTGGAATGTTTATCCCGCACTTCCCCAATTTATAGTGCACCTATAACACCATGTCGTGTTCCGACAAGAAGTCCTGTGAGGGCTGTTCATGCAGCAATGACGTCCAACCACAATCAATAAACATCGAGGACTGCCTAAATGAGCTGCAGGCTCTGCGACGACGCAATCAGGAGCTGGAGACCCGCATGAAAATCACAAGTGAGGCAGATAATGCCCAAGTCACCGTCAAACAACCAGGACGAACACTTCGTTCGTCCGCATGGTTCGACTGCCGCAGCAACCCCGGCATGACAGCTATCTACATGGAGCGGTATTTCAATTACGGTATCACCAAAGAAGAGCTAATGTCTGGTAAGCCGATGATTGGAATTGCTCAGACGGGCTCGGATATTGCGCCTTGCAATCGCCATCACATTGAGCTTTCCAAGCGTGTTCGTGAGGGTATTCGGACTGCTGGAGGTATTCCGTTTGAGTTCCCCACACACCCTATTCAGGAGACCTCGAGACGGCCTACTGCGACCCTTGATCGTAACCTGGCTTATCTTGGCTTGGTGGAGATCTTGACTGGGTATTTCCTTGATGGTGTTGTGCTGCTTACCGGGTGTGATAAGACAACACCGGCTTGTTTGATGGCTGCGGCTACGATGGTGGGTTATCAGACCCGAGAGATTCCTAGAGCCATGCTGATGTTTTTAGAATATCCCTGCTATCTGCATGAACGTGGGACCTATGCTCAACGGATACTCCAAGGGAGCTTTGACCGGTGCAGGCACTGTATTGTGGCACGGGCGAGAGCTGTTCGCCACGGGTGACATTGACGAACATGAGTTTATGGATTACATCGCCCGAGGGTAAGCCATATCTAAATATCCGCTTAATGACCGCAGAATCTAACCCAAACTCTAGAACTCCGTCAGTCGGTCACTGCAATACAATGGGAACTGCCTCGACGATGAATGCCCTTGCAGAGTCCTTAGGAATGGCACTCCCTGGGTCAGCCGCTATCCCCGCTGCTTATCGTCACAGAGCCCAATGTGCCTACGAAACAGGCAAGCGGATCGTGGAGATGGTAGAGGCAGACCGGAAGCCGTGTGATCTCATGACACGTGAGGCCTTTGAGAATGCTATCGTAGCGAACGCCGCAATCGGCGGCAGCACGAATGCTCCTATTCACATCAACGCTATCGCGCAGCATGCAGGTGTAGAGATGTCCATGGATGATTGGGATACCCTTGGATCTACCATCCCGCTGCTGTTGAATATGCAGCCTTCGGGAGAATATCTCGGCGAAGAATATTACCGCGCTGGAGGACTGCCGGCCATCATGGCTGAGCTATTAGACCAGGGCAAGCTGAACGGCGATGTGCTCACTTGCAATGGCAAAACTCTTGCCGAGAATGTCCGTGGGAAGCATACATGGGATCGACGTGTCATTAAACCATACGACGATCCATTGATGAAAGATGCCGGATTCGCCCATTTGAAGGGCAATCTCTTCGACTCTGCAATCATGAAGACCTGTGTCATTTCACCCGCATTCCGGAAGCGATACCTCTCTAATCCCGATGATCCGGAGGCATTTGAAGGATCTGTTGTGGTGTTTGATGGACCCGAAGACTACGAACATCGCCTGGAGAATACGCCACACATCGACGAGAAGACTATCCTTGTTATGCGCGGTGTTGGTCCAATCGGGTATCCTGGAGCAGCGGAGGTCGTCAATATGCATCCACCAGGCCGACTCTTGAAGGAGGGTATTGATGGACTATTCTGTATCGGGGATGGCAGACAATCGGGGACATCTGGGTCGCCTTCTATTTTAAATGCCAGCCCCGAGGCCGCAGCTGGAGGCAATCTTGCTATTTTGAAGGATGGGGATAGACTTCGCATTGATTTGCGCAAACGGCGGGTTGATATGCTCATTACTGATGATGAGATTGAAGAGCGAAGAAAAGCATTGGGCACTGAAGGATACCCCATTGCCCCGAGTGGTACTCCGTGGCAGGAGATCTTCCGCCAGGAAACTGATCAGCTGAGCAATGGTATGGTGCTACGAAAGGCAGTCAAATATCAGCGACTAGCTCAAGAAGGCCAGCCACTGCGTCATAATCATTGATACGCAGCATATTGGACAACATTGTTTGTTAAGCAGTCGCGTAGGTTGGACTTTCACCTGGTTGAAATTCTGTGAGCATAATAACATCTATAGATCTATGTAAATCTATCTTTTTAGGTAATAATCTGAATTACCTATGATATATATTGCAGTGACCTTAAAAGTGAACTACAAATTCCCCGGTATTATACGGTTGACTACTATCCATTTATAATTTATACATGGTCATTTTCGCAACAACACTAAGTAGGGACGAAGACACCCAAAGATAGGTACAAAAGACATACAAAAAAGATATCTGAAATGGTCCTCAATATAACATCTTCACGAAGTCCATTGGTACATAAATATGGTTGACCAATAAATGCCCGTTGTCCAATGCCTCGCTATATCACCCCGTACACGACTAACATGGCGCTCCCACCACTCACAAGTGAATACCATGCACCTGCTGCTTCATCTTCTTCACATTAAGATCTTTCCAAAAGAAGCATGAAGTCCAAGTTATAAGATAAAGACAAGTAGCGGTAATGAGCATGAGTCGCTGAGTCTCACCATACGCGTGGTCAATGGCATCGCGAGTAGCTGTTCCTCTAGCGTACGACTGCTGGGCAGCCAAGGAGCCATAAATAGTAGGGAAGTCTGCCTGTGCAGAAGCAGGGAGAAGTGCCTTTAATTTGACAGGGAAAATCCCAGTCCACATAGCAACAGCAACAGTGCCCCCGAGGGCGCTACCAATACCCGCAACCACACCCTCAATAGCCAGGATAGCAGGGATGTTCCTCTGAGCGGAAACAGCCATGACAGTCATCTGCTCGCAGATGACGAGGGTGCCACCACCGAATGCAACGAAGATTTGGCACATCACGATGTATCCAATGTTCGAATCGGGTTGGCGAAACTTGATCATGAGGCCAACTCCCAGAATTGTAAGAGGAACACCGAAGCAGACGGCCCACCACTTGAGGCGGCCGTTATAGCGAAGGATGGCTCCGAAGACGAGGCACCAGAAGCACGATCCCATGGTGTAAATGTTGGAGATATAGGTTGCTTCTGTGACGGTTTGGTTGAACATCACTTGTAAGAGAGAATAGAAGTAGCTATCCCAGATATACCAGGCCAGATACAGAGACACCACCATGGAGAAGGTAAAGAAGACAGTCCGGTTTTGGATTAGCTCCCAAGGCATGAACTTCACAGGCGCGAAGTATCTCTCCCAGAAGGTGAATGCAATAATCAAACAAAAGCCAATGACAACGAAGCAGATAATCATCGGGGAATGCCACTCCCCAGGTTGGTAAGAGTATAGGTTGAACGCCAACAGGAAGAGAGAAAAGCCCGTGGCGATGATAAGCAGGCCAATGACATCAAACTCAATGCAGTAAAAGGAGATAGACTGCCAGAGAGTTCGTCCACTGTTCTTCTTCTCCGTCAAGTTCATCTTTTCGGCCTTTTTCTGGGTATAATACCACAGACCCCAGAGCGGAGTACTGATAATGGGCATAATGATGGCAAAGACACCAAAGCCCCATCGATACCCGATGCCGCCCGGGGCGAGGATCTGATTGGCAGCATAACCGTAGATCCAAGGTGTGATGAGATACGGAGAAGCGGCGTAAGCAATCCAGAAAGCCCGGTTCTTCAAAGCTGTAGTATCAGCAATGAAAATAGTCATGGAGAAATCGATCATGCTGAACCCAGTCTGGTAGAAGACTTGAGCAGCACAATACGTTTGCACATTCTTGCAGGCGGCCATCATGATTAGTCCGAGAGTCAAAAATCCGACGCCGACTCCAAAGGCCTGAGGCCGACCCCAGATATCCATGAGTTTCGCATAGGGGAACTTGATTAGAGCGGAGATCAACGAAGCGATGACGGAAGTAAGACCCGTCAAGGAGTGTAGCTCGAACCCACTATAGATATATGGGGATAGGGAGCTGAGCAATCCGGAGCTGAAGTACTCTAGAAAGTTGACGACCCAGACACTTCGGGTTATTAGTCAAGAAGTCCCGTGGGGGTTGGCAACAGACAAAACTCACAGAGCATAAGCTGCGATCAAAGTGTTCTTTGTCCAGGCTTGGGTGCTTGCCTGCGCCTTCTGAGTCCCAGACTGCGCCTTTTGGTCAACGATTTCGGTATCTAACGAGGCCTGATCGGTCTCATGCGATTTTTCCGAGGCAAATTTGGAGTCGGCAGAAGCCTCCATATCGGGTGCACCAGTCGCTGGTAGCTCCTCCGCAGATGCCCTGCGCGCAAATGGGTTGACAAAGCGCTTTCTTACAGCCATGATATCGACAGTGAGATGAGATCTAAATATTGGTTGAATGCACCGCACCTCCAAAGCTTGAAAGGTCAGATCCTGAATCACCAGGAGAGGCCGAATTCACGATAGCAAAGTCTGGGAGATAGCGAAGAGGTACGGCTTCGGGGTCTAGTTTCCTCAGCACAGAATATGCTGTGGCTATAGTAGGAAGTGTAAGTCAAAATTTCTTCAAACCGAAAGAAAACTTAGACATAAGCTAAACAGAAGCTAACAAGTCAAAATAATTAAATTCTCACTCCCTTTTGGGATTTCACCGATGATCGGAAGCTGGTTGTACGGAGTATGTACTCCGTATGTTAGACGATTACAGATGCCAATGAGAGAGCCAGTTAAGGGTGTCAATGTGTCACACCATACAAAAAACCTTTACTCCGTATAACAGAGGGACCAAGCACCGGTGGACATGGCAATGGACCCACTCGGTATGCTTGATCCGCCTTATCTGATTGATCTGATTGAACTGATCGGCTCGGCTTTTCCGCTTTTGGTCGTAGCTCCCAGCGCTTTCGGGAAATCTCCGGACCTTTCGGCAAATGCTCTATGTTTTATGCTTTATCTTAAATGGCCAAGATCCTTGAAAGGCCTAATGAAACAGGTTTAACTACGAGTAAATGGCATATCTTAGAACCATCTACTCCGTATACCGGGGGCGACATGGTCTGATACTCATACCAATTATGTTAATAGCCACACAATTCATCTCAACCAAACGACGTATTCATCAGTCAGGAATCTTGTTCGTACAATGTGTCGACTCCTACCTCAGTGTCTGCGAATTCAACCTGTAGCAAACCAACTGCATCTAGCATCGGAACGTCATCAACTACTACTAGCACAATCGCAGGTAATCTCTTTGGGGGGGGG